AATGAACATTGCCACACTAGGCAGTAATATCTAATCGTCGAAATATTAATATTGTAAACCTGCATTCATTCTAAGCAGGCTTTGAGGTAATTTCAACTATCACAGCTTGTTGTAATTCTGCCTATTTCCTCTAATAATGTAAAATGTGCTGTATTAAGCCTCAAGTGTTTTCCAGTGCACTCGATTGCTTTAAACAATCACCTTGGTCTGAGAAATTACCCCAAAATTCAGTGTTAAAGAAATCCTCAATCCCTGTATGAGATAATTGTTCCCTCTGGCTTTAGCAGTACAGATGGAAAACAGTGTGTTTGCATCTCCAAATATCTCCCCGAAGACTTCTGAGGAGCCGCTTTCTCTTCTGTCTTCAAAACAGCCAGGAGAGATTACTTTGTCCGTATGGAGTCGTCACAACCTCAGCACAGGAAGTACAGTGAATTCATGAAATCAGGTTAGAGATGTAAGTATGACTTTAGAGGTTTCACTGATGGTGCGTTTATATCCTCCGCCTCTCTGCTTCAGCTGTGCAATCTTTATTCTATTTGTTCTCACTGATATTACTGAGAATGTGTGGCTGTCATATCTACTTTGACAGTTGCTATGGTAACAGATGCTCAGTATTGTTGGTGAGGTGTTTATTGCCCCGAGCAGACCATCTAATTCATGTCAGATCTGGACCTTGCAGTGTCAGTCACTTTTACCGAAGTAGAAAAACAAAATTACAGCTGGCAGACCCAAAGAAATATTTATGCAGCGGAAACCAGGAAATCAGTAATGTAGAAATCTGATGTGGAATAGGGTGTTTTTCATTTGTAGTGGAAGGGTTGGGTGTAGAATAGACAATATGTGCTGTATGTGTGATGGATTATTACTGACATTATGTGTCTGTGTGTCTCTGACATTTAGTTTGTCTCTGCAGTTGATTATGTTGTCCTGTTGAGTTCAAATACTATAAGATGCATTTAAATAACATGGGTATGTTTGAATCAGACAATGTGAAATTGAAAGATTTAATTTTCATTTGATACATGAACTACATACAGTATGTGCATGGTTGTGTGAGACTGTTGAAGCAATACTTGCAAGCTGACAAAATACAAAACAAGGAGACTGAAAAATGACAGCATCAGTCTTTTCCGCAACTGTCCCAGAACAACACTCAGTTGCCAGTTTATTAGGCACACTTACAAATAACTAATGAGGTTGAACACAACAATCCTGCAAGAAATCCTGCCGTCATGAAAAAATTAATGTTCACTTTATGTTGAAAGGTGTTAGGTTAGGTTGGGTTACTTTATTTGTACCTGTAGATAAATTTGGTTTGCAGTAAAAAGAGTAATCAGTCTTACACATACACATTTAACACACAGCACAGACAACATCCATGTGCAAAAATGAATGAATGAATTGAACATGGCTTCTATGCAGTGCAGTTACTACAACTTATTAATATGAGAGATGGCTGCTGGAACAAAGCTCTCTTTGTTTTGTTCTGCACTTTGGGGACTATGAACCTTCATCCAGAAAGAAGAAGCTGAAATTAACTGTTCAGGGGGTGTAAATTGTAACTGTGTGGTATAGGGATACTAGGTTAAGCTGTGACTCACCGATCAGCTGACTGGACCCCGACCCTACAGTCTTCGCAAGGTATCACTGTGGACTGTTTTTCCAAGTCTGAGTGGATCATTTGGTCAACCACTTTTTCCGTCTACATGGTATTCTCTCTGATTTGGGGGGCGTTTTGCCAGGCAATGGGAGTCAATCCATCTTTTGGTTTCTATCCACAGACCAATGGCCAAACAGAACTAATCAGGACCTGGAGTCAGCACTTCTTTGTGTCACTACTCCCAACTGTTCATTGTGGAGCCTCAACTTGGGCTACCCACAACTCTCTGAGCAGCACTGCTACAGGTGTGGCTCCATTTGAAGCTTCTTTAAGTTTCCAACCAGGTCTGTTTCCTTCCCTGAAAGGCAAATTGGCTGAACTGCAGTTGGAAGATCTGGAAAAGCATTCACTCAGTTCTCCTTTGCTCAGCGCCTGGGTTGTACTGTATGTGTGGGGCAGCTGCATCGATGAACTGCATGGGTGCCGAAATGAAAGCCAAGTCGATCAACATCTGCCACGCAGCCAGTATGTGCTCTGCCGTACATAAAATTCCAGCTCCCAAATATGAACCAGGTCAGACAGTTAAAACAATCGCTTTATTGGACTTAAAAAGACAATCAACCCATCTGCCACAAAAATTTCCCAGCTCCGTGAAGATTCATGCCAACTTCCATGTCAGGTGAAACCAGTCTCTTCCAGTCCTCTTTGCCGTCCTACCAACCCCCAACATCCACTCACCCGGATTATCAAAGACCATCCTGCTTTCTCAGTTTGTCAGCTCTTGGATGGTTGTCATGGCAGTGGCAGTGGGTGAGCCTCCAGTACCTTGTTGACTGGGAGTGTCGTGTTAGTGAATCTTTTATTCTGGACTCTCAAATAATCAAGGAGTTTCATGGGACCTGGCCCAACAATCCTTGTGGGTTGCCAAGAGGCTCAGGTTAGAGTTAGGGTACTGTTATGGTTAGGCTGGAGATGTAGCTACTCCATTCACCTGCACATCTGCATCTCATCATCTCATCAACTCCATAAACTGCTGTAATATTCAAGCTGTGACTTTTCCTTCCAATCTTTGACAGATCGTTCAGTCTCGTGTCACAAACATTAAGGCCAAATTTCTAGGTTTTGCAAGTGGTTATCTCGTGCTTGTCTGAACCCTGCTAATCCTGCGCTTACCTGTGTCTGAGGTTCAGCTTTCCTATCGATCTAGTTGCCTGCCACGTCCAGCTCAGTCCTCATATGATGTTCAGTGTCACTGTAAACTCCATCATCAAACCTTATTACCTGCCCTGCTCAGCCACTCCAGCTGCGGTCTCCTACCCCACTCCCCTAACAATCCTGCCCTTATCATCAAGTTTACAATAAAACTTCTCTAAACTACTTCATCATCTCCTTGTCTGTGTTCTGCCTTTTGGGCCCAAAACTGAACTGTGCTAACACCATCTCTAATACAGTACACAGGCATTAACATATCATGCTATTTATAGACGTCTGCCTCTTCATCTGCCAAAAGGCAGGATTACAGAGTCATCCCATTCACAGGGATTACAGGTAACATTTTGCCTATCAGTGCCTGCATTGCAGTGGTGAAAGCTGTGGTGTGCGGATTCATATTATTGCGTTACAACAGAGAAACATCAACAACATTCAGGGGAGTTATTATACGGAACTGCACATTATGGCACATACTGAGATCAGATACGATCAGACTTTATTGATCCCTGTGAGAACACTCATTGTGTTGCTGAAGTAAAAGTAAAAAAAGGATTCTGTTTTTTAACCTTGCTAAATCCTTGCTACACATTCTGACATAAGTTAAAACTTTGTTGATCCAGCTGGGGAAACGGGCTTTGTTACAGCAGCCTGCAAAAGTGCTCTAACTGTGCAAGGAAAAGAGAATCTAGAATATGAGCAAAAATATGCAGAGGTTGGACATATCCTGGAAAGACAATGGATTAGGTAACACAGTGTTACAAGCTCCATGATTGCTTTTTTATTACAGATAAGAAATCTATATGTAAATGTGTGCTGTATTACAAATGAAAAACAGTCAGTCAGAGAAGCATGCGTGGAATAGTGGAGCCACAATGAAAACTCTACAGTGTATGATCATTATATCCATTGTTAGGTTTACTTCAGTAAACTTTAATTATATTACATGAAATTAAGTTAAATAACTGCATCTTGCTATACTATAGTAAGTAATCAAAACCACTGCCCAGTTCACTCGAAACACCTGTGTGGATGCAGAGAGCCTTTACAATTACATACATCTCGATGGATAAAATAACAGAATAAATCACTGGATACAAGTGATAGAGGTGGAGAATCTAAGACATAAGAGGATATATATATATATATAT